CGCCGGCCCCGTGGGGGGGCGGCGGCATGCCGTGCAGCATCATGGGTAACATACTCAAGCCGTTCTTGCCGTCCTCTGCCGAGGTCCCGCCGACGCCCGCCGGGAAAACGTGAGGGAAACCCGCCGCCATGATGCCGGAGATGGGGATGCCGGGCATTCCGCCGCGCAGGTTCTGCATGGCCACCATGGAATCGACGCCGCCCATCAGGGTGCCGTTCATGAAGATGGGCGCCGGGAGGCCCGAGGCGTCCGACAGGAGGGGCTTGGGCATCTCGCTGCGAGGGCGGCGGCCGCGGCGGCGCGACGAAGGGTCTCTGTTGACCGGTTCCGTCAGGATGCGGGAGAACTTGCCCTCCGGGAGGAAGCCCTACGGGGACGCGAGTTGGTCAGACGGGATCGGCGCCGGTGCCCGCGGGCTGGACCCGAACAGCGTTTGCCACTCACGGAATGTTTGACCACGTCCGCCCAGTCTGGAGCCACAAAGTACTCCGAGTTGGCGTCCAACCAGCGGGACAGCTCCTTGATGGCTGGAGCCATAGCACCACCCAGCTGCAAGGTGATAGAACGACAGTTGGGAGAAAAAGGACAAGGACAACAAATTGAGTGGTCGCCAGTCCACGTCAGGGCACACTGAAACCAACGAGGAGCCTGGATTTGAGCTGCTGACCCTCCCACGTCTGAGGCGGCCATCATGCTCACCACTCCAGTGTGGCACTGGCCCAAAAAAAGGATATGCGGCGTGGACGTACCCGGCGTCCCGTGCCGCGGTGCACGACGGGCACGCGCTCCTCTCCTGTCAAGGAGTTGACGTCCAGCTTGGTGGGATCTTTGCAGCGATGGCGCCGCTGCTTGGGCCGCTCCACCAAACCGTGCAACACGCCCGCGCCGACCTGACAAAGGCAAAAAAATAAATAAAAATCACAACTCGATCACATTTCAAGAGTGACTTTGAAGGGTTCAGCTTTAGCATGGATGCTTGTTATCATGATCATTATTTCAGCTCAACCTGCATCTTAAACTTCTTCAATGCCAGGGATTTAGTTTCATGTCTTTTAATCAAAACTATTGTCATTTGTTTTCTTATTCTTGGAGCCACTAAAATGTCCTTTTTTCAGGCATTCGTTTTAGACAATAATATGCTGGATTATTATTCTGGTAATTAAATTTCATTCTCAGTCTTTATTTATTATGATTACCACTGTGTTAGGTGCTTCATTTTTTTCCTTTTATTATAATTTTCTTTGACAAAGACAACAAAATCAATGAATGTCTAATTAAAAAGCATTTTTTGTACTTTCAATTCTACTCCTGGCAAATTGATTGAGTCCTCCCACTTCACTTTACGGCTAGCTGGTGTACAACTTTCGACATATGCGGAAGATAGTTGCGAACTTCAAGTTGCACTCCAGACTGGTACGGTGCGTCCTTGTACTGCGTGCGCAACGACAGGTTCTTAGACAAATCCAAAAATGTAAAATAACATACGTGAGCAAAAGGTAGGTCCAAGCTGTATCCCGGTTTATGCCGCAGCCACTCCATCAAACCTTTGCTGGCGGCCACCTCCCGCTCCATGGCCGCCACCTCCGGGTGGGGCGGCGTGGGCGCCGACGCGGGCGCGGACGAGGGCGCAGGTGGTGCCACCGGACGCTCCGAGGACGAGGGAGACGGAGACGACGTGGAGGACGACACCGACGACTGGCTCAGAGCCTCCACGCCACCCTGAACAGATGTTTCACATTCATGGATACAACATTGTACAGGGAGATGCGCGGTGGATATAAAAAAGTCGAAACACCCCAGTTAAAATGCCAGGTTTGGTGACTTGACTTGAAATAAGGTCAAGATAAATAGTTCACAATTAATGTACAACTCATTTGAAAAAGGAAAGTAATGTTCTAAGGGGAAAGCTTGGTGCATAAATACGCACACCCTCAAAGTCCCACTTTAATGCCGCACCTTTGACTTGGATATCAGCACTCAGTCTTTCTGCGGATGAGTCTCTCAGTCGGGTACAAATTAGGGTTTCAAATTAGGGTCAACACAGATGTTGCAGTCAGGCTTAACGCCCCAAGTTATATTTCAAAGTAGTCGAGGTGCAAGAAATAATGAATTAATCAACAACTAAGTGAATATCCAATTATTTTTGAAGAACACTTAATCGTTTGGAGAGCGTCAATATGGTCAAATTTATGTCATTATCCATAAAAGCAGACTGATAATCTATCAAAAAGTTCCACCTTGGTTGCATCAGACCACGGCATGCGTGTTTCCGCAAAATGTCGACGAGCTCGGATGTTTTGCGTTGTTTGTAAGACGAATCATGCCGACAGTACGTCTTGCCGCCTCAACACACAGCCAGGCATACGGTGCATTTAAAAAGTCGACACACCCCTGTCAAATGCCAAGTTTTGGGGATAGGGAAATATGAAGCGTTCCGAAAAGCGGTCAGTGCTTCTGCTAGAAAGAATTTTTAAAAAGTCTGGAGAAGCCTATGAAAACATCTGAACTCTGCTCGGGGTTAATCGGAGGTACTTGAAGTTTGAATGGTGGCAGGTGTTTACCGACTGCCAGATGAAGCAATTTTTGCACTTTTGCAGCCACACAATCTCAGTGGTTGAAAAGCTTTCTTATTCCAACTAAGGTCATAGGTCGGTCACATGAACGGCGGAAAAAGTTAGCTTTTTTTTTTTTTTAAATCAGAAGAAAAAACTGGCATTTGAACAAGGGGCCTTACACTTTTTGTATCGACTGAATACAGCAGGCGGGAGTGTGTTGTCACACGCACTAAACATCCAATACTTGCCAGGAATTCCTGCAGCTCCTTCACTGTTGCTGTCGGACTCCTGGCGGCCTCCTCGACCAGTTTTTTTGTCTTTTCCTCAATATTGGAGGGACGTCCAGTTCTCGGTAACGTCACGGTTGTGCCAAATTTTCTCCACTTGATGATGACCGTCTTGACCGTGTTCCACGGTATATTTAACGCCTTGGAAATTCTTTTGTACCCTTCTCCCGACTGATACCTTTGAACAATGACATCCCTCTGATGCTGCGGAAGCTCTTTGCGGACCACCGCTTGTGCTGTCAGATGAGACTACAAAAATAATAGGAAAAGCCCACTAGAACAGCTGAACAATCGCGTCATCTTAATTTCCATCTCCCCTCTCGAAAAGACGGGGTTTTTTTCAACTGAGTTGCACATGTTCCAGGTTGCATTCAAAGTCGTTTTCTATCCACTGCAGAAGGATGGTTTATGGTTTTGTATCAAACCCAAAGTGTAGACTGAGTTACTTACCTGTGCTGTGTCAGGGAGGTGCATGGCTTGAGCTTTGGTGAATTCCGAGTAGAGGGCCTCGACGTTTCTCCTTCGGCCCCGTCTCCTCCTCAGGCAATCGTCTCCCCTCAGACTCCCGTTAACAATTTGTCCAGTCACGGGGTGGATGAGTCCAGCCTGCAGGATTCCTGCCATGTCCATTCCCGGAGAGCCCGCCAGGGGCGCCGTAATGGGCGGCGGCGGGGGCGGCTTGCGGGGAGCGTCCCCTGACCCAGACGCGACCGAGTCGCCCGGCGATTTGCTGAGATCCATGGCCGCCTCCTGCCAACCGTTCATCAACAGGGCACCGGCCCGCTGGTTGGCCGATGCGTCCCCACCGGGGGTCCTGCCTGAAGACGGCACTGTCACCGCCTTCCCCGCTAAGGCCTTCGCGGCCGCCACTGCCGCCGCTTCATAGTCAAAGGAGCGCCGTCCTGCGGCGCGTTTGAGTTCGGGGAGGAAGGCGGGTGCCACCAGTCTCTCCTGTAAGAGAGGGAGGGAAGTGAGGCGCCAAGCCCCGCGGCCGCCGCCCCGCCCCGAGTACTGCCAGGGTGGACAAGACACACAAGAACGACGGGCTGGTTAAAACACGAGACAGTAACACTGACAAGCACCACGACATTCGGTACACACAGTCATCAAAATGTTGCCTCTGAAGCCAGTTCCACTTGGAAACGTTACATTTGGGAGACGGGTCTTTTACGAGAGGAACCACAAGAAGAGTCATGACGCAATGGCCCACATAAGGCAAGAAGTCAGCCAGTTTGGTTTGAAGCAGACATTTTAGGCACGACTGGATTCAGGGCAGCCCCCGGGGCCGTTTCCCTCACTGACATAAAATTTGATACAGTACAAACGATTCATTAACAACTAGTCGATTATCCAATTAATCCATTCAATATTTTTTCTATAAGCCATTAACTGTTTAGAGACCTTTTATAAGTTGTGGAAATCCTCAGAATGTCATCTTCTCAATCGTAAATATTTTCAGATTTCTGTGGTCCTCCATGATAGCAGGTTGGTTATGTCGAGCTAATAAATCGCAGTTTCAGTTTTTACGATGGAAAAAATAAATCACCAACATTTTGGCCAATTTTTTCATAAGTTACAGACCAAACCAGGAAGTGAACCCGAATTAATTTGTTTGGTTGCATTTTCTTCACTTTCAATATGAAATAATGTACTGTTTCTGAATAAAGGGATGGAAATTAAAACATGTTTTTTGAAAAAGCCACTTCATCGATTAATTGACAAAGTAATTCGACTCGTGTGCCCGTGCCTGCCCGTGCGCACACACACAAACTCACAAGGTAGGACGTAAAGCAGAAAAGCTGTCTGGCCTCAGCTCACCTTGGGCAGCCTGGTGAGAGGAGGTGGAATGATGGGGAAGGCCAGGCCCGGATTGGCCTGCTGGATCCTGGCCTGGCCAGAGGAGGACGAGCACGAGGAGGAAGAAGAAGAGGAGGATGAGGTGGTGCAGGAGGCGGTACCGGGGATGAAAGCGGTCCGCTGGAGGTGTTGCTGGGCCAAGTGGTTGGCGCTGACGGAGGCTGGCAAGTCATACTGGTCGCTGGCCGAAGGCCATTTCCCCTTCAGGATGGCGTGGCAGATGCTGTCCAGACGATTGATGATCACGCGGTCCTGCCGGGACCAAACAAAGAACTTCTGGGAACGTAGGCCACAGCTTGAGACACTAACCCAATGTGAAATAGCACCACAAACTCAAACTCTCATTTTAAAGCAGAATTTGAAATTCTAACTTGAAAGCCTCGCTCTGACTCAAAACCCCACCTTGAAAACCTAATCTGAGCTTCTGGAAACGTTCACCCTGAGTGGATATACTAACAAGGGCTTGAAACCCTCCTTTAAAATCTTTACTTGAAACACAAACCCTAGCTAATTGCAACTCTCAATTTGAAAGTTGCTTCCTGAAGATGGAACCCAATGGGAGCAGATATAGCGAGAACAGCAAAGGCCCCAGAATGGAGCCCTGTGGCACACCACACGACAGTGGGGCAGTTCGTGACTCAGAGCAACCAATCTTGTGAGTAATAAATGTTTGTATGAGCAATAGCTTGTAGACTGGATGTGTCGTGCAATGTAATGATCAAATGTTCGCAATAAAGCGAGCTGAATACCTTGGGCCAGTCAGAGTAGGAGTAAAGTGCTTTCTCCTGGAGCAGCTGAGCAATGGTGGGCTCCCGGGCATCGTGGATTTCGGGAGGCTCACCCACGGAAAAGGGAGCCGTGAAGCCGGGACTTCCAGAATAGTCCTCCACAGCCGCCACTGGAACACACCTCAGTATCAACATCTCAGCAAAGGGCACGCAGGCGTGGTGGCTGGCAGAGCCCAATCACATGATTTCACCCTGACACGTCATTTTCCCAGCCCAGATGATGGTCAAAATGAGTCTTTATACTGAACTATGAACTAAAAATCTTTTGAAAAATACCTTTCTGACATAAATATAAATAATGCACAATTAACCTTAGTCAGTGTTTCAGGGAAAGTATCTCAAATCTATTTTGAGCACACAGAGTACTGTACAAGCCAAATTTGTTCTTGTGTGGGCTGTATCTTTTGAAAGATCCTGATGCATACAGTATGGAGCTTACCTGGCGAGGAGGATGTGTCCTCATCCTTGGGCTGACCACTGAGTTCTACAGTGAGGCCCACCTGCTCCGTCTTGGCCTCCAAAAAGTCCCGCCCGCTCTCCATCTTGACGCCACTCAAGTCCAGACTGTCTGGCTTGGTTTCCTCGGCCGTGGTTCGGAGAATTTCCCGTTTAAAGGGGCGGGCCTCCGTCTCAACAGATTCACATTTGGAATCGGCTTTATCCGATTCGGAGGTAACATCTTCGGACTTGACGAAGCTAGCCTCAGGGTCTCTGTCTTCGGTCTTGATCCGGGGATCCGGTTTCTCCTCCAAGGGCAGGCCCACCGGCTCGTCCTGGCGGTCCGCTGCGGTGCCGTTCACAAGACAGAAGTGGTCCACCATCCGGTCATTAACGGGCTCTTCGTGATGTCCGTCGCCTTGGAGAAGCTCTCCGGGAGCCTCGGCCATCAACTCAGCCACGCCGGTCCGCTCCTCGTCGTCCTCCTCCTCTTCCTCCGCAAACATCAAGTTGTCCACCTCCTCCATGGGACACATGAGGTCCGGACACAGCTGGTTTGGGACCTCCATGCCGTCCTCCGGGTCCCTCAGTGCTGACGACGGGGGCTCGCCGGCGCCAATGTGTGCCAAGTCCAAAGGCAAACGCAGACCTGGAAGAACAGCTGCCAAGTCACAGATACAAAAATCAGAAAGACGAGCTTGACACCCAAACGTCAAACTCTGACAAGGACTTCAAACACTAAACCTCGCTTGAAACCTTAACATGTGCTGGAAAACTAATTTGAAACTCTTGACCAAAGCTTGAGAACCTCATTTGAAACCTTGAATCCTTGTTTGAAAACCTTAAATTTAATTGAAACTAATCCTTTTCATGAAATCCAAATTTCAAACCATAACCTGAAGCTTAATTCCTGATTTGCTCAAACCAAATTTAAAAGCGGAACTCGGCCTTCATGCCCTATTTTTAAACTCCAACACTGACTTTTAAACACGTACGCATGCTTGAAACCCCAATTTTATTGCCTAACCTAGGCTTGAAAGCCTAACTTGAACCCGTAACCCTGCTTTGAAACCCTAAGCGTGGCTTGCTGCCGTCAAATTTCAAACCTAAACTCAAATTTGATATTCCAACCTTAATTTCAAAGCCTAACCTGAAAACTTGATTTGAAACCATAACAAAAACCATAAAAGAGTTGGCAAATCCAGCTCCAGGAATTAGAAACTCAGTCACAATTGGCTTTGGCCACAGGTGCTTCTACTCAGGGAGCTGGTTTACCTGCTGGTTGAGTAGAAGCAGCTGTGACTTAAGTCAAACCATGGTAGGATTTTTACTTTCTGGACCTGGATTCGCCACTTCTGCTTGAAAGCCTAACCTGAATTTCAGATTCAAACCGCAGTTTCAAACCTAAGCGTGGCTCGAAACCCGACTGCGAAAGCCTTGCACTTGTTTGAAACTATAATCCAGGTTTAGAAACCATAATTCTGTTTTAGGAAATGTTATTATGTCCGTACATTTCCATCATTCTTTTCTTCCCTGGAAGGACTCTTGTACTTTGATGTAGTAGCCATGAATGATACTATTGTGCAGTTGTGCGTGCCGATACCTTCATGCGCATCACATCGGTCCTCAAGTAGAATGGCGTCTTTTTCCATGCTCACGTCTTGACCCTTGGCGTCAAACTTGAAGCCGTCTCCGCCTCCGCACACATTCTGACTTTTGACATCCTCCTGGTGGCCCGTGATATCGGGGGGAGAGAGCGGAGGGTGTGGGGGAATGTAGGGGGGCAGGGGGCTCGCCGCCAGGTCGCTTTGGTCCACGCCGGCTTCTTCGCTCACGGCGATGTCCTGATCAAAAACCAGACAAATGATCAAAGGTTCTCACCGTGCTTTGCCATTGGAGCATGATTTTTCCCACAACCATTTGCTGACTTTGTGGCTCATCTGTGAACCAATTCGAACAATTTCAAAGCAGACTTCCCCTGATTGTCTGCAGTCCATTTCATTGCATTTTGACTGATCTTACGTGACCCACAGAATATGTTGTTCTGCAACAACATAAGCACTAAACGAGGGCTGCAACTAACAATTATTGTTAATCATTCATTCTTTTGTATGAATCAATGAATCAGGTAAACATTTTTATTTCAATTTTTTACATTTAAAAACAGGACTTCTGTGGCACCCATAACTGGACAATGTTGGGTTCGAAAATTAACACCCATGCTTCCTCCGTGGACATTTTTGACCCATTATTTTGACCCAAACAGTAAAATGGGATTTAATCTGCGTGTTTGATAACCAAATCCTGATATGTCGGTTTTCTGAATATTGGTATCGGTGTAACTCCTGGTAAGCGGCACAAACCTTGAAGAGCATGAAGCTGGACGATTCCACAGAGACTGCGGCCGAGGGGTGAGAGGGCGAAGACGAGGGAGGGAGACCCAGACACTCCTCCAGTGTTCCGTCCCCGCTGCCGCCGTCGCCCCGTGGAGCCTCCTCGTCCTCTTCCTCCAGGAATCCGGTCGGACCCAGGATCGGGTCGGACTCGTTGAACATGTGGTGAGCGGGGCTGGAGTGGTCGGCGCCGTCCCAGGGCGCCTGCACACAATGCACGTTCAGTACTGGCAGACGTGACGAGAAAGAGTCACCTTTTCCCATTTGTTGGGTGATGTGCGGTGAGGGAAGCGAGCTGAAGTACCTGCAGCTGATCCAGCTCCATGGACGGCGGCAACAGCCCGGTCTCCTCAGACGATCCCTGCTCGCCCACCAGCACGTCGCTCCTCAGCTCAGAGCGGAGGTCGGCGCCCCCCAGTCGGCCATACGAGTTGAGCATGCTCTGACCGCCGGCCGCCGAGTTGAAAGGGAAGCCATTCAGGGTGTCCTTAGAGGCCTTGCCCCCATTCAGCGCCTCCGCAGACATGGGGTCCAGGTCGGCCAGGCTCTCTTCCAGCGGGGGGCAGTCCAGGAAGTCTCCCCGAGAGGCGGAAACCATTCCCAGGCCCGGAGAGGTCGCTTCATCCAGCGGGGGCGGAGGTGGAGCGTGGAGGTGAGAGGAGGAAGAGGACGAGGACGAAGAGGAGGGAGCCGAAGGAGGTGCGGCCTGCTGGGAGGGCTGCTGGGGGTATTCTGGAGGTTGGGGGCCGTCGTACAGGCAATAGTGGGGGGGCGGCAGCTGAGAAGGCCAGATCCATTGAAGGTTTGGTCACAACATGTGGGGCCCAAAAAACTAATACAGCGGTGTCTTGTGGTACACACTCAAGAATAAATTGAATCATGAAATAAAAACTGGATTAACATTGAAAGTTATTGTATTTTTTTCCCCTATTACACTTTATGAAACAAATATTGTTTATTTGTCATTGACGAAATAAAGCCAGATAAACAATCACATGAGAGAGAGGAAGTGAATTCTTTTTGAAAATGACAGCTACTGATTGACGCCAAGGAAGGGCTATTAGTTTGCACGACTCCCCTTTTGAAGAAGCTACTCCATTTCCGTCAATGACAACGTATTCGTACTACAGCTGAATAGAAACGTTTTCCTAACAGATGAAACAGACTTAGTTTGTCCATAAACTGATTATCATTTGATGATTCTTTTACTATTTTGGTCCAGAACATGTTTGGAATCTAGTTATTGTTTTTAACATTTGAATGGGGTTCAACCATCGCCCCATTTTGTTGCCGTACCCTGTGAAGATGCGAGGCGTGGTGTCCCCTCACGTAGTTGCGGTGGGCCTCAAGGAAGCTGAGCTGCGGGTCGTTGAGTATATAGAAGTCGGTTCGACTCAAGCCGTGTCTCGCCGCCCCCACCAGGAGGTCACGGTCGTGCTTTCCCGACTCCCACCACACAGGGAGGTAGAGTGACGGGCGGCAGAGCTGCAGGCGGGCCGACAGCAGCGGGTGGCGGAGGACCTGAGGGCGACGATGATGCCCGCGTTGGACAACTCACTTGGTATCTTACCGATTTGCCAACTTATTCGTTTAGTCACCTGCTCGCGGATCTTGCGGAGGAGCTCGATGCGGTACAAGGTCCGAGCAGCTCGCTCTTCCGTCAGAGGCTCCACCGGAATGGCGGTGTCTGTCAAACCTGGGCGGCAGAGAAGATGAAAAAAACTAAACATCAGACAGAGAAGAGGACCACCAAAGACCAGAGCACGTCTTGTATTTCAAATCTATAAATGGATGTCATTTTTGTTGTGTCTTCAGATTTACAGTCGGGGTGTCACGAAATGTGCAGGACGGGGGCTATTGGTCACCTTCTTCCTTCCTGGGCGGCAGCTTGCAGGCGGCGCGGCACATGCTCACGAAGGAGTTGAAGTATCTTTCCAGGCTGTCATCCGTCTTCCGCTCTAGTCGCGCCAGTACGCGAAACTGCGACCAGTCGAAGGCTTTCCTCTCAGGATCGAAGGCCACGCCAAAGGACGACACCGTGCGGTAGAAGTCCATCTGTTCGCGCCGGCTCCATCTGGCAAACACCACATACCTTGTTGGAATGCCTTTCACGCACATTGACCAGAGGGGGAAAAAAACTGCCGGTTCCCTTTACACAGAGATCTGCATTTCTATCAGCTTCTGCCATTCACTTTGACATCTGCAAAAGCATTGACAAAGTCATGTGTCAATCATCCTCTCACCTTCTCTGCCACTCCAGAAAAACGGCGTCCGATTCGGCATGGCTGGCGGTGCAGCGCCTCAACTCCTCGCCCAGCTGCCAGGCCAGCGCTCCCCCAACATGGTGCCCGAGAGGGGCGGCGCCTGTCCCGCCGCCGCCCGCCACTCCAAGACCCGCCAGGCTGTCGTGAAGCAGGAAATCGGGGCGCAGAATGGGCTCGCGGCGCAGCGTGAAGCGCTGATAGGCGGTGATGAGGCGGCGCAGGCGGGCCGTCAGTGCCGGGCCGGCGGGCCAAAGGGGACGTGCGTGGACCACGTGCAGGGCCGCCACGCCCGTGCCGCTTCCTGACCCCGCGCCGAACGTGGTTGTCACCAGCGTGGCGTCCTGGGCGCACAGGTCGGCCGCCGACACGTGCGAGTCTACGGAGCGTCAAAGGTATACGACGTCACCGTTAGGCTGCTCTGACTTTCATGCGGAGATCTGCAAAAGTGGCGATTTCTTTTTCCATCTGCCTACACCTTTCATGCAAAGAAATTCTGCAAAAGTGTTTTGTTTTTTCATCTGCTTGCCAGCCAGCCTTTGTTTTTTAATCAGCCTGTGACTTTCAGGTAGAGATTTGCAAGTGATTTCAACACGGATCTCTCAAGTTTTGCTTTTAATTTTCCTGTGCCTTTCACACAGGCATCCTGCAAAATTGCTGTTTGTATCTGCCTGTCTATCTTTCACACACAGAGCAGCACCTTTCCAAGATCTTGCAAAAGGGTTGATTTGTAGCTGCCATTGCCTTTCACACAGAGACCTGTAAGTGCAACTCATATGACAATCTTGCAAAATTGTTTTTTTAATCTTCCTCTCTGTGCCATTTACACAGAGATGTGCATAATTGTTCCATTCAACTGCCTTTCAAACCTGAATGGAGCATAATTTTCTATTTTTTTTCCTGCTGGTGCTTTTCATGGAAAATTGCAGGCTGTTTTTTTTTTTTTTTTTTTTTTGCTTGTGCCTTTTCAAATATAGAGTACACTGGGTGTAAAGCGGCTCCACTTGGTAAGGCATGCTTGAAAGGGGCGACTGACCTGACGCAGCGCCATTGTCCGGTTTGTCGGATGCGTCGGTGCTCAAGCAGCTCTCCTCTCCCTGAACGAGGAGCGCAAACGAGCAAAGGTCACAAAGCAGACGAATACAAGGAAGAGGATGAGGAGGATGTACCTTGCTGTTGTCGTCTCGGTCATCTCCTTCACTTTTACTGTTTGTGCTCTCGCTGACGTCTTCCGCTTTTGCAACGCTGCAAAAAATACGCACGCACACGCACACACACACACACTTTTATTCTTGTCTTTTCCTCCTGCTTCGATTTGTCTCTTCTGTCTCCTTTTTGTTGTCTTTTCGAATTGATTTGGATAAAAATGACCAAACTTTTGGTTGTTTCCAGGAGAATAGAAACGTTAGTCCTAGTTCCAATCAATTCTCGAAACTTGGTGCCCAACCCTACTGCTACTGTTGTATTTTGTTCTTGCTTTTTGTGGTCTTTTAGTGCTGTTGTTCTTGCTTATGTCATGTCTCTACTGTGTCTGTCTGCATCTAACTCATTCCCACAAGTCTTTGTTCTGGCTATCGTTGTCTTTTGTTATTGATTTTTGTTGTTGGGGTCTATTTATTTATTTGTGATTATTCTTAAAGTCCCTTATTTCTTTTTGTTGACTCATGGTGGTACCTGTCGGTGACATCTGCGGCCGCCTCTCCTGATCCCTGCTCGGCCGAGAGCGCGGTGACGTCGGGCATGCCGACCCTCTCCAGGAAGCACAAGTCGGCGTCGGCGCGCATGGCGTTGTAGCGCTCGTAGCCTGTTCAGGTGCACATTTTTTGAAAAATGTCGTCTTTTTCATGCATCAAATATCATGTCAGGGAACTCACCGTGCTTGTGGACGCCTACAAGCAGAGACTTGTCCGCCTCTGCGTCCCACCACGACGCCGGAATCTCGATGTAGTCGATGTCGGGCAGTGACACGTCCAGTTTGCTGGAGTTACGGGATGGATATTGATGTCAGCATGGAGCTCTGACATTAAAACATTAAATAATGTGTGTCTGCGTGTGTTGAGGGGGGCGGGGACTGCAGTTAAGTGATTGAGTACCGCTGATGTGGAGTCTCGTACCTGGCAGCCGTGCCTTCCAGAGCCTGATTGGCTGCTTCACCCAGAACCTCCACCTTCAGGTAGTACAACATCCTCACCCTCAACAGAACCCTACGCCAACACACACACACAATTCAAGGTGAGGAGCGCTCAATGCAGTCAACGCTGCTGATCCAGCCACAAAAGGTGAAAATTTGCAAATAAGTGATGCTATAAGATGGTGGAAAAGTACTGAAAACGGAGAGGATCATGAAGCATCAACACCATGCATCTAGCATGCACACACTCATGAACCCACTTTACATGAACCACGGCAGTTAAATTATTCAACAAAACAAACCACCTTCACATGGGGCTCATCAATCTTATTAGCTAGCACACAAGCCTAATTCATTCGCGACCACAAACTGTCATGTCATCACAAACCCGAAAATTAAAGAACATTCAAAGACCACCTTCCATAAAAAAAAGAACTAAAATGTTACACCCTGTGGGACCAAAGTACTACACTACTATTCTTTTATTTTATATCTCTCTTATTAATCCTTTTATTGGTTCGATCTAAGATTAAAGCAAATCGACAATATTTTCATTGAATAACAGAGGTTAGGCGCCGCCCACCCCAAAAAAAGAAAGAACACGCAAATTTGCAAGGTCTACCAAATTTTACAATCCTTAATAAAAATCACTTCGGGGCTGAATTTTCCACCTTTTTTTTTTTTTTTTTTTTTTATGGTCAAGAAAGTAAGCGATAGGGCTGCACTAACTTGTTGCAGTGTTGTTTGAGGTGTTTCTTGTAGCTGTCGTCCTGCAGAACGACTTCAGGGTTGCAGTGGGCCAGCCAGTCGGCATTCTTCAGCTCAGGAACACTCAATGGACTCTTGATTTTGTTGCCCTTGCGTCCGCGAGGAACCGGAGCGGACAGACCTGCGGTACAGACGCACGGTGGGGGTAAATCAAAGGTGCGTTTGATGGAAACAGACGGGAGTTTAAAAAGGCTGAGGTACCGACCGGAGTGATTGAGCAGCTCCTGGTCCTGGTCCTGTCCCTCCTTACTGGGGGAGATCAGGTCCCAGATGAAGCTCTTGATCTTATCGTCACCTTTGTAGTGCTTCAGGCAATAAACCAGCAAAGCCCTGAAGGAAAAAAAGACATGTAACCCACATGTGCCCACTCAAATCCATCCAGGCTCCCCCTATAAACACATCTGTTTTTCAACAATCTACTGACATAAAAAGTCACATTTCCAAAAAAAAAAAAAAAAAAAAATCACGTCAATTGATCTGTCCCAGTATCCATCCACCCATATCGCTATTCCTAATCCGTTTATCATCCATCCATCAGTGATGTCAAGTCTGTGGCTGACCTGCAAATGGCCTCCATGTCTCTCTCGGTCAGGTGCCACTTGAAGCGACCATGGTTGAGGATGTCCTTCCAGCGGCCCCACCTGCACGCACCGCCAAGATCAAAGACTCAGCAATCTTCAATACATTCCTTTTTCTTACAGCAAAATGTATTACTTCGACCTGATCATCGTGATTTCTCCTGGACCCTTCCGCCCTCCGTGAATAACTACTCAACTCAATCTTGTCACGGTATAGCATCAAACGAGCAATGGGCCCATGCCTACGTGCAGCCCTAACAGATAACAAAGATGTAATTGTACCCAAAGATGAGCAGGTTCTTCTCCACGCGGAAGCACTCGGCGCGCAGGTAGCGGCGAGTGCGCTCTCCCAGGCGTCGGGTGCGGCACGGCTTCTCCTCCGAGTCGCTGTCCAGCTCCGAGAACTCCATCAGCTCATCGTCCTCGAAGGAGTTGTAGTGTCGCGTCTGCTTGCGAACACGGGGCGTGTCGATCACCAGCGACTCCTGCGCACACGGCCGCCATGTAGCGGCAGAAAGAACATGCTTAGCGCGGACGGAACTCAGGCTGCTCGTCATTTTCGTACCTTCTCCGATTTGGAGTCAATCTCCACTTCGGCGATCTTGGCCCATTTCTGCCAGAAGTTGGGGTCGTCCAGAGATATGTCGGTGCGGTTGCCCGAGGAGATAAAGCTGGCCTGGGGGAGGAATTAAAAAAAAAAAAAAAAAAAAGCACAAAACACAGAAAAATAGTTCCACACGTCAGTAACTGTGTTTGACCGGATTGTCAGAATTTCCATATTTTTAACCTTTTGTCAACAACATTAATTACTGAGGGACCCAGTTACACAGATGAACCGATGAGCGTGATCTCTTTGGCCTGTTGTCAGACCTGGTTGGAGGCAGATGCAACGTAAACAAAAGTGGGTCAGCCAAGTCGAGCTACAGCCAAGCTAAAAGCTAACAAAGTGGTTCAGAAAATCGATGGATAGGTGAATGACACTGCTCCGTCTCCTACTGTACATGTTGGAATGCAAACAGCGACGACTACGACGATACAGCTATGGTCAGCGATAAAAAGACTGACCAATAACTACATTGTAAACCAGCAAATAACTTGAACATGTTAATAAGTACACTAGATAGTCCAATATCTCTTAGGGACTGTATTAAACTGACCAACGACTTCAAACCTAGAACAAACAACAAGTTGGACCCGGTCGCAAGTGTATGGGACAGACCAATAACGGTGGCCTATAACTAACTGTATTAGACCAACCAAAAACTCCAAGGGACTGCATAAAATTGGCCAATATCTAAATCCTGGACCGACCAATGACTCAGAGCCGTTAAGAAGTGTATCAGACCAGCCAAAGACTTGAAGGTGGTGTTGTGGTCGCCGCCTACCTTGGCAAATGTGGACCCTTTGCCCTCAGTCTGGATGGTGATGGTCTGCGTGCGTCTCTGCAGGATCTGGTCAATGTCTTCCTCGCAGAACTTGGAGCCTTCGTCCTCTTCGTCCATCAGAGCGCCATAGGCGCCCTTCTTCAGCAAGTCTTCCAGCTCCAGCTTGGACAGCTGCTGCACCTGCGCCGCCACCCGAAACCGTGTTACAGGCCCGCCAAAACCACAAATAAAAGGCAAAATATCTGCCAATCCGATCAGGTCCATGTCGAGTCTCAAACAAAGTTTTGAAGTCAATGAATGATGGTTTTATTCATCGTGATTTCCATAATCAATCAAAATAATTGTTGTTATGTTTCCTATAACGTGCCAGCCGCGCCTCTCACCCCATTGAGGCCGCCCTTGCGGTTGATGTCCTGGAGGACGGCCTTGTCCAGGCCCAGCTTGAGGCTGGCCTTGTCGAACATCTCCCGTTCATACGAGTTCCTGGTGATGAGGCGGTACACTTTGACGGCTTTGCTCTGGCCGATGCGGTGGCAGCGCGCCTGAGCCTGGCGGGCAGGGACGGCATTTTCAAAAGGCCTGCTTTGAATTTCTTGAGGAAGGTCGGTCGCGCGGCTACCTGCAGGTCATTCTGCGGGTTCCAGTCCGAGTCGAAGATGATGCAGGTGTCGGCGGCCGTCAGGTTGATGCCCAGACCGCCCGCCCTCGTGCACAGCAGGAAGACAAAGCGGTCCGAGTCCGGCTTGCAGAAGCGGTCGATGGCCGCCTGACGCAGGTTCCCGCGGACGCGCCCGTCGATGCGCTCGTACGTGTAGCTGAGGACGGGTACACGCACACAGACACAAAGTTTTGTTAAAAAGTGGACTGGAAAGGCCAACACCTACCTTCTTATAGTTGCATGGGACATACTTTTATGAGACCACCCAAGAACTTGAGCTTGCTTGTAAGTGAATCAGACCAACCAATGACTGGAACCCGATACTAAGTGCATTACACTGCCCATAATGTAAAGATGCCGATTGTTAAGTGCTATACATTGACCAATGAGTTATCAGATGCTTATCGGAGCAACCAACAAATTCAACCAGTTAGTGAATATAATACAACGACCAATGACTGCTGAGTACACTTACTAACCTGTTAATAAGTTGTGAAAGCGCGATATAAATCAGGATGTATTGTATTGTACATCACAGCGACCAATGACTGTCATCTGTCAGTCAGTGAATTAGAGCAAACAACGCCTATAACCTGTAAGAAATTGTCTTGGAGCGCCCAAGGACTGTAACCGGTAAGAAAGTGTCTTAGCGCTACTATGAGGTTGCAGCACATGCGCACTCACCGCCTCTGTATGAGGTAGTCCTCGAGGATGTCGAGGCAGCGGACCATTTGGGAGAAGACCAGGACTTTATGTCCGCCGCTCAGCAGTTTGGGCAGCAGCTTGTCAATGAGCACCAGCTTGCCCGCCGCCTGGATCATGGCCTGCAGCTGCAGGTCGCACGTGTCCACCCCATGACTCTTGCGGAAGCTCTCCACGATCTTCTCCTCGGCACCTATCACGACAGCAAAGTCACAGAACCTTGATGCTAATTTCCGCTAGCCGTCTATGGCTTTTCCCACTATATGTTAGCATGCATACACACATATACACACACACACACAGGAACCTTTAACAGGAGGGCCAAACAAACCACTTGAAACAAGCACACTTGAAACCCTCTTCAGAGAATTGCGCAAGCGGGTCTTCTTTTGATTTGCATTACGTGATCTTTTGCCATCTTTGATGGCGAGACAGCTGCTAAAGGATAAACAGAGGTACGTCACATTTCGTCACATCATGCCTTTAGGCCTCACCGGTGATCAGGTAAGGATGGTTGCAGCACTTGCGCAGCTCCATCATCGTGTTAATGAGGTTGGGCATGTTGTGCTGGTTGGCTCCTTTGGACAGGAAGGAGAAATTCTTCTCCAGGATGGCCCTGTAGTACTTCTTCTGCATGTTGGTCAGCTCCACCTGCAAAAAGACGGGGGCAAACGTGGGCAATTTGTAACCTCTTGGAGTGGGAGGGGAGGGGACAAAGCGACAGGAGAAAGTTGTACTTCAATGATGGTCTCCTCTTTGGGGGCCAGGTTCTTCTCCACGTCATCCTTCAGCCTCCTTAGCATCATGGGCTTCAAGATGGCCTGAAGCTTCTTCACCTGGGAGGGAAAGAAAGTAAGATTAAGATACAAGGATCACATGGGTGAGAATTTTATTTATATATACAAAAATAATTTTTTTTCCCCATAATCGTAGACGGTGATCACATTCCGTGCCATTGATGGCTATAGACGCTAAAGATCATTTTTGATTGGCCGGGCAGTGAAAGACATAAAAGGCCGTACCTGCTCCTCGGTTTTCAGGTCCCCAAACTCATCAAGGAAGGCGCTCTCCGAGGGGAACTGCAGCGGCTCCAGGAAGTTGAGCAGGCTGAACAACTCCTCCACTGAGTTCTGCAACGGCGTTCCCGTCAGCAGAACCTTGTGCTCCTACCCCAAGCGGCCAGAATATGGGACCGACAGGAAGGAAGTGACACACAAGTCGCAACTCAGTCTCAAGTCCAGGCCTCCCACTTTTCGAGAAATCCTCCAATATCGTGACGCTTTTAAAGCTATTTCAGACCGACCAATTACTGAAACGCTGATGAACGGCAACTTGAGTATTTGAAGGCTTCATTCGAGTAACCGGTAACTTTGGACTGACCAAGTTCATGAGTTTGAGTCCCTCCAGCAGCTTGCAGTTCCTGTTCTTGAGGCGGTGCGCCTCGTCGATGACCACGCAGCGCCAATGCAGCTTCTTCAGCTCGGGGCAGTCGGCCATCACCATCTCGAAGGTGGTGATCAGCCCGTGGAACTTCAGCACACTTGGTGCCGTGTTGCCCTGCCGGGAGGAAAAACAAGCACATTCGCTTCACGCTCGTGTTGATGAGCGTCTTTGTTCGTGTTGCCCTGCCGGGAGGAAAAACAAGCACATTCAACAGTTACAACAGTACTCAGTCAAAAATATATATCTATTTTTTATCTTCTGCATAAAATGATTAATGTGTCTTACTGATGAGCTGAGAGAGGAGTTGACATATAATTGTGAAACCAAGCAGGACACACCCCCATTGTAACTATGTTTGAAGAAGGGCGAGACCTGAGCATCGCGATGAAACATCTCATACTGCAGGATCATCTGGCGGCTGATCTGCGAGCCGTGGTACACGATGACATTCATGCGCGTCCATGTGCGGAACTCGCGCTCCCAGTTGGTGATGGTGGAGAGGGGCGCGATGATCAAAAAGGGCCCCCGGATGCCCATGCTGAACATCTCGTACAGGAAGGTGATGGACTGGATGGTCTTGCCCAGGCCCATCTCGTCCGCCAGGATGCAGTTCTTCCTGCCGCGGGCCGGCGAGGAGGAGGAACGCCTCAGCAAACATCTACAAGCTGTGTGTTTCACTTCTACTGTGTGTGTGTAAGGGTGTAACTGGTGTGTGTGTGCGTGTTTGTCTGTGTGTGCGTGTGTGTGTCTGCATCTGCGCCTCTTTGTGCGTGAATATGATTCTGTGTGCATACGTGTGTCTGTGATACTGTGTCTGTGTGTGTATGTGACTGTGTTAATGTGTCTGTGTCTCCTTATGTGCGTGTGTGCATGTGGATCCGTGTGTGTGTCAGTCTTTATGCGTGTGCAGGTGTGAAAACAGTGTTCATGTGTGTGCATCTGTCAATGTGTATCTGTGCGGGTGTGAGTCTGTCCGTCTGTCTGTGCTTGTGCGAGCATCTGTCTGAATTGATGTGTGTTTTTGTGACTCGCCGTGCAGGTGTGACTGTGCGTAACAGTGCTTGTGTTTGTGTGCGTGAATGCGTGTTCACCTGTTGTACCAGTTGAAGAGCAACCAATTCATGCCCTCCAGCTGGTACTCTCTCAGCTGGTTTCCATTGCGGTAATCTCGTGAGCGCTCCAACTTCTGCCACTTGTCCGGGGGAGGACGCTCCTGAGCACAAAGACAAAACGCACACTTGTCGTTCAGCATTAAAATATTACACAATGTTCACTGCACGTTTGCTATTCACAACTTGTGAATTTACATGTTTGCAGATGGGTTTTTTTCCCCTTTCCAAACCTCTCATCCGTCATTTGCTAAAAATTCATTTATTCGCTGGCTGTCTAAGTGCTCAGGCCAAAGACGAGTCTAGAATGAAAGTACTGTTTGGCACCATTTTGGGGCTTCTTTGTGCCAAAGGCCGACCGTGTGTTGAAGTACGGGAAGAAGCTTCATTTAGACAGGCCACTGCACTACTTTGCCGTCATCTCATGGCATCTTCTGTCAATTAAAAACTTTGAAGGTGCGTTGGGGCTTGGTGCCAATTCGTTGCTCTTGACTGTACATTGCCTTCAAAAATGGTATAGTGTTGGCACAAAAGTGATGGACTTGTCCAAGAAAATCACAGTTTCCCAAAGAAATTCAATTAAAAGACTGCATTTGCTCACATCAAGTCTATCATTGAAAGTTTAATTTAAATGACCTAAACATTCAGACACCATATTTACCACAGACACACACAGAAGAAAAAAAAAAAAAACAGATTTTGCTATGATCAACATTACAAATGGACAATTGCTAAGGACACACTCAAGTGCAATATTTGTGCACAAATGAAAAAAATGCAAAGGTCGACCATAAAAAGTTGCATTTTGGTACAAAAATGTTTCACTTTGGCTCAAAACCTTTTTGATCAGTCATTTAATGTTCCCCCACATAGTAGAAGGTTCAAGAAGGTCGCCTCACCACATGCCGCAGGTCTGGCGGCAGCTTTTGAATCTCCTCAAACTCTTTGATTTTCTCCGGGTCCAAGTCCTCCTGGAGTTCCCATGTGGCCTCCTCGTAAGACAAGCTGCACCACTTCACCAGGTAGTGCGTCACCTCCTGAACACACAAACAAATGCAGCATATGCGCACGCATGTGTGCGTGTTTCTTTGTTGCGTCACCAACCTCTCCAGTCTCCGTGTCCGTGGTAACGGCCACCTCCAACACCCTGTCCACCTCCACGTAGTCGGGATTAAATAAATCTTCGTCAGGCTGTAAGAGGGTTAAAAAAAACAAGAAGATCGAGGGACCACAGCAAATGACCGAAATCACACTAAAACGACTGATTCAGGGCAAAATGGCAACCTTCGTGTGTCTTTCGGGACTTGGCATCTTAAAGGCTTTTTTTGGAGTATATACTTTTGTTTCAACGTGTCCATCAAATTTAAAATTTTGAGGCCAAGGCTTGTTTATGTGCTTACATAAAAGTGGTTTTGGGGGCTAAATTTTGGAAAATTTTTGAAGGACTGCAGAAAAGGGCCAAAATGAGCAAATAATTTCAGCTTCACAGCAAAATGGCTGATAGCTTCCTGAGACTGTTTTGTGGGCCTTCTTGCAACTGACAAGTCTGTTCACGTTCCTATTGCTAAGTGAAAGTGGCTTTGGCGGGCGAATTTTCAAAAAAAAAAAAAAAGGAGATGTTTGTCTCCGAAGAACACTCCAAAACATCATTACATGGCCAATTCAAAGCAAGATAGCTGACTCCTCTTTTCAGGCATCACTTCGTAAGGCTTTTTTGTAGTCAGTTTGGCTTCAGGGTGTGCATTTTTTAAAATAGAAAGCGTAAGATTATCAAGACTCCTTTATAAACTATCTATCAGTGGAAAAAGCCAAAATGAGCCTAAAATTGTTGCTTCAATCTAACCAAAATGGTCGACGTCCTGTGTCTCTCGAGACATTTTTGTGGCTCGACATGGCTTCCAAATAACATGTCAAACTGTCTTCAGTGGCTGAGTTTTCAAACTGAATCCAGGGGGATGCAGTGATGCTGGCTGTTACCTCGCTGAAGAGGTGTTTCATCTGCGCCCGCTTGGTCCTGAAGCGCTTGATCTTCTGGTGAATTCTGGGATCTTTTTCCAGTTCGCCAAGCGTAGCCCATTTGCAGTGCAGGTAGGAGCTGGGACACAAGGCAAAAGAACCAACGTGGTGATGAACGACTAAAAACACACGCACGCAGACGCACAAACACACACACACACACACACACATTTATATCTGCAAATTTGACTCACAAGTTTCGGTACTTAACGTAAAACTCTTCCGTCTCCTCGGCTTGCTCCTCTGATGAAGACGATGTCTGCGGAGGAGGCCCAAGGTCGATGGTGATAATAATAATAATAATGATGAGAAGAAGAAGAAGACAAAGAAGAGGAGAAAAACACATCAAACTAAATGCAGCTTACCTCCTTCTTGACTGGTCGGACCGACAGGATTTTCTCGATGATGTTGGCCTCGTCCTCGGGCGGCTCCTGTGGAGAAGACGTCGAAGTTTTGCTTGTATGTGAGTATTGTATGTCATCAATTTTGTTGATTGTTTACCCTGACAAAATACCACCAAACTTTTTGTTTTTTCTTTCTATCGAAACCAAACCCAAAAAATTTTAAAGGATAAATACAAATCGATACATTTTCCCTAAAATGACGCTTCCATCCATGCATTATCCGATCCGCTTATCCTCACACGGGTCGCGGGCGGGCTGGAGCCTATCCCAGCTGTCTTCGGGCAGAGGCGGGGTACACTCAGAACTGGTTTGCCAGCCAATTGCAGGGCACAAAGAGACGAACAACCACTCACACTCACAATAACACCTCGGAACAATAGAGAGCGTTCATTTAACCTTCCATGCATGTTTTTGGAACGTGGAAGGAAATCGGAGTACTCGGACAAAAACTCACACAGACACGAGGTGAACATGCAAACTCCATACATGAAGACCCGGAATCAAACCCGTGACCTCTGTACTGTGAGGGCAGCTAACCAGTCAACCACTGTCCAACCGCCCTTAAAAGTGTTTTGGGTTTTTTGTTTTTTTCATGCAAATGTCTTTTTCATGTTTTCTGTGGTGGGTTTTTTTGTTTTGTGGGTTTTTTTGTTTTGTTTTGTTTTTTTCAATTCAAATCCAGCGGGAAGAGTTTTCCTTTGCCGTACCTCGGCTTGCCAGGCCAGCGCCGTAGCATTGAGCGCCGCGATGCGTCCCGCTCCAAGAACAGCGATGGTCTCCCCATCGTCGTCCACCACCTTCAGGTCCAAATCCTCGTTGTACTTCCTGCGTTTCACTTGACGGCCCGAGCGCCGCTTCTAAAGGCAAGAGAAGTTGACTGTTTTTCCATTGGATGTGACTGGGGAGCCAGGAAGCCGGGCTCACCGTGTTGTCCAGGGGGTCCTGGCTGTCCTCTCCGCCCGTGTTGACGGACAATGAGGTGGTGTCGTCGCTCTCTGCCCCATCGGGGAGCGCCATCGTCTGCTTTCTCCTCTTGGCCTTTTTCTTCCTCTCCACCGGGGCGGCGCCAGGATCTCTGGGGAAGAAGGAAGCACGGTCAGGTTGGCATTATATCCCCCACCAAAAAAAAAAGTGGACCTACAGCATTTCTAGTTGAGGACCACTGAAGTACACTATATACAGTATGTGTGAAATACAGAAAGACTCATTTTTATATAAAGCAATTATGTCAAATCAAAAAAATGCTGTCTTGATTTTATTTTTTAATACTGTTAATACTGTTTACATTACTGTTAAATATACACTTCCCATAAGGTTTTATTTTAAGTGGGGTTGTGAGCATCTGATGAATGTAAAAAAGTAACTTGTAAACTGTTATTTCTTTCAACGAAGTAATCAGTAAAGTAACCAAGTTACTTTTTCAAGCTCACTCTGGCAACACCACATTCACTATCGCCAGTCAATTCATGCACTTTTAACGACTGTGTACATGAACATTCTCCCTCAAACACACAAACACACAACATCGATTAATTTCCGTCGACATGAGCAAGCAATTCGGAACAACTTTTTCTTCTCTCCAACAACCACACGCTCCATATCTATCCACATAATTGTGGCAATGAATTCACAGTCAGTGTTTGGGTCTCTCTGGTATTGAGAGTCCAAGCCTTCCTCTTTCATTAGTATTTTAGAGCGCTGCATTTTCATCTGCCAGCAAAAACTGCACTTTAAAAGGACAAAAACAAAAGAAAATGCATTTGGGGAAACCAGTGGGGAAGTGAAGAGAGATGAATCAATGCAGATTATTATGCACTGTGATAGGTTAGTGTGAGAGAAATTCATCTCGTGCTTCCTGGATATCAACTGAGTGTTTTGTAAATTATATTTACAAAAGTATTTGTGTGGATTTTTTTTTTCTTTTAAGAAATTGTAACAACGTGCCCGCCCAGTCAAATAGCATACAACTCCAATAAGTATCTGCAAAATAACAGATTCGAGGATTTAGAATTTGGTCATCACAATGCTTTTAATATACAAGTGGCAGTCAAAAAGTAATGAGCCTTGTTCAATTTATCCAACATCCATGCTGTTAAAATGTCTAAAAAAGAACAACTGTAGTTAAAACACTTGTTTCATTCCAAAAAAAAAAATGTTTGAACCTATCCACTTTCTGTCTGCCTTGTTAATGATGTCTATCAGAAAGTGCAGCCGCTCCCTAAATGCAGATAACCAACGGTGTCTAAGGCCTGATCCTCAATGGAGAGGCCCAATTTTGTATGAGCGGGGATGCATTGCGACATCATCGATTGAGCGAGCTGTGCACATCAGGTCAAATTTAGTCCACAGTTGACAAATATTAAATGTCCAGAGAGACAAGGAACAACAACAAAAAAAAATCCCAACTGAGGAAAAATAAGAAACCTTGGGAAGGGGCCGCGGATGGTAGAATTCCCTTTTAGTATAACAGGGCTGCGATGGATACGGAGTGGGCAATATTTAACACAATATTGTACCATGCAATGTTAGAATAATATCCATCCATCCATTTTCGATCCGCTTATCCTCACAAGGGTCGCGGTGGGTGCAGGAGCCTATCCCAGCCGTCTTCGGGCAGGAGGCTGGGGACACCCTGACCGGTTTGCCAGCCAATTGCAGGGCACAAAGAGACGAACAACCACTCACACTCACAATAACACCTCGGAACAATAGAGAGCGTTCATTTAACCTTCCATGCATGTTTTTGGAACGTGGAAGGAAATCGGAGTACTTGGACAAAAACTCACACAGACACGAGGCGAACATGCAAACTCCATACATGAAGACCCGGAATATAAACCCGTGACCTCTGTACTGTGAGGGCAGCTAACCAGTCAACCACTGTCCAACCGCCCTTAAAAGTGTTTTGGGTTTTTTGTTTTTTTTAATGCAAATGTCTTTTTCATGTTTTCTGTTGTGGGTTTTTTTGTTTTGTTTTGTTTTTTTCAATTCAAATCCAGCGGGAAGAGTTTTCCTTTGCCGTACCTCGGCTTGCCAGGCCAGCGCCGTAGCATTGAGCGCCGCGATGCGTCCCGCTCCAAGAACAGCGATGGTCTCCCCATCGTCGTCCACCACCTTCAGGTCCAAATCCTCGTTGTACTTCCTGCGTTTCACTTGACGGCCCGAGCGCCGCTTCTAAAGGCAAGAGAAGTTGACTGTTTTTCCATTGGATGTGACTGGGGAGCCAGGAAGCCGGGCTCACCGTGTTGTCCAGGGGGTCCTGGCTGTCCTCTCCGCCCGTGTTGACGGACAATGAGGTGGTGTCGTCGCTCTCTGCCCCATCGGGGAGCGCCATCGTCTGCTTTCTCCTCTTGGCCTTTTTCTTCCTCTCCACCGGGGCGGCGCCAGGATCTCTGGGGAAGAAGGAAGCACGGTCAGGTTGGCATTATATCCCCCACCAGCGCTTTCTTCGCTCCATTGGCCTTACCTGGGTTTGCGGCCCCTCTGCTTGGGCACCGAGTTGAGGCCGGGGTTGAGGGCGGCTTGGTTGTGGTTCTTGGGGAGCGAGGCTTGCGGCCTGACAGGCAGGGCTGAGGCAGGAGGTGGTGTGGCTATTGGGACAGGAAAGCAGTACGACATAACACAACTTCAGAGCAAAATCCGACGACAGCATATTATGTTGATGTTGTTGCAATGGCGATGAGTGTAATTTTTAAAGTACTGCCGACTATTTGTTCTTGCACTAATTATTCAGTGCATTTCTTACAGTACATATTTTTTTCAATTTACTGTAGAGTATTTTTATAGTATTTCAATGCAGTTTCCGCAGTGGATTTTTTTTTTGTTCAATTTTTAGTAGTGTAGTTCTGATGCTAGTATTTTTTTGGACTATTTTATGGATTCTATTTCTTACAATGCATTTCTGACTATATTTTATTAAGGGACTTTTCGACTTGCATACTGTGTACTTTTGTTTTTTCTTCAAAACACACACACACACACACACACACACACACACACACACACACCTTGATGAGGTGGAAGAGGAGGCAGGATTTTGATCTTGGGCTTCCTCCCTCGTTTTCCGGGCACCTTAACGGGCACCTCTGAAGGAACGGGCATGGGGGCGTTGGGGGCACAGGTATTTTTCCGCCTGGTGGCCTGCTTGAGCTCAGTTTGAGCGTCTGGGGCGGCATCCGCCCTCCCCTTGCTCCTGCGCTCCGTCCTCTGCTTGAGAAACAGCAGTTGTTTATGAAAACTGATAAAATGATGAAAACTAAAATTCAAAACAATATCTTTTGTCTAAATGTAAAAAAAAAGAGCATTTTAGAATGAAAGTACACCTTATTCACAACCCCCCAGGTACCCATAAAAATCGATACAATGTGACAACTTTTCTCAATTTTGCCTGTGCTAGTGTATGATACGCCCCCCTCCATTTTGAACGTGAGCACGTTATTCTCAAGAAATGCGGGTATTTAAAATCATAAACAGTCAAAGGAAAATAAGAAAAAGGAAAACCAATCAAAATGACATTAAATTTAAGCACGAATCGAAAAAAAATAGCAAGCCTTCTGTAAAAGTGAATATAAATGAAGTGATTTGAAAGTGCAATCAAAGTATGATGACCTTATTGGGAAGTACGGTGGTGACAGGCGCCTCCTTGGCCTGCTTGCGCTTCTTAACCGAGGCGTGGTCTCCGCCCTCCTCCCGTTCTCGTTTGTCCTTCTTCTTACGTTTCTTCCTCACCCTGCTGCCACCGCCACCACCATCGTCCTCCTCACTTAGGGAGGAGGGGGGCCGTGGAGCCGCCGCCGCCACCACCAGAGCGGGGGCCTTGCAGTGGTTGGACAGGCCGCCCACAGGGGCCAAAAGTCGGAGCTGGTCTTTGGAGCCCACCAGAAGGTGGCCCCTGGGGATGGCGGACAGCGAAGTCTGCACGTCGCTGTTCTGCTCCGGCGACGCCGACGAAGCTGATGAGCCCGAAGACGGCGACGCGTGCTTCAGGAGGCCACCCAACATCTGAAGAACAACAAACAAATCATTTCACATGCCATCAGCATGGCGGTCACCACCCTAAAATCTGGACTTCCATTCATCATGCAACTCGTGTTATCTCGGATGTTGGGAGTCTACAGGTAGAGCTGTGTCCAAATTGAGATGAGTTCCACGCTGTCCATACTGTGACAATAACCGAAAATGTAACCGTTATGACATTTTGAGTCCATGAGGTACCTCAGATGATTGACAACTCCACTCAACCTATGCTACCCTATGTGTCGCTTTCCTTGATGTTTCAACTTGTGTTGTGAGGGAAATTGGGCACCAGTGTCTCTTTGCTTGATCTCAATAGTCGTATGACAAAGAGAGCTGTGCATCTCCTGTCAATCTCTTTTTTGTTGATGTTGAAAGTCACGTCATGTGTCTCCTTTGACATTTCAAGACGCGCTACAAAGGGGATGCATATGTTAGTACGGAACTGTCTCTCCTATTTTTTGACTTTGGAACTTTTAAGAGTGACTTTTTTTGCACCTGTGTTTCTTTGATGTTTAAACTCATGTTACAAAGGAAGTTGTGCATATGTTTCTTTGGTTAATGTTTATAATCTTGTGACCAAAGAAGGTGTGCATGATCTTTACATGCATGCTGTCTGTGTCTTATGTGTTGTGTTGCGTTATTTTGTTATTTTGACTTCAAGATGGCGCCGCGAGAGTGGCTGCCTTTCCAGCAGCTCCTAAATTTTCTTCTTCTACTTCCTTTCATAACTTTGCTGCTGTGAATTGGGAATTTCCCCATTGCGAGACGAATAAAGGTATTCTTATCTTATCATGGTATATGCCCCTGTGTCACTTAACGTGACTTTTAAACTCTTGTTAGAAAGAGACTATTGTCTATAATGCTCTTGTGTTTCTTGTTTTTTGTTTTGTTTTTTTTTTTAGACAGAGCTGTGGACCTGTTTTTTTTTTTTCATGTTACAAAACGGGGGATGCAAAGCTAAGTTACCTGTATATGCACCCGTGTCTAATGGGCGCACCCAGTTCAAAGCAATGCATTTCTTTGTCATTAGCCTCCTTTTTAGCATTAGCGTTCTTAATACACAGACTAATTCATCTTGATTTGTCATTTATTAGCATGAATATGAGAAATGTAAACATAGTGTCGACTGAACAAACAACAGACGTGAAATGTGTCATGTTAACGTCGGGCTTGTACATCCAAGGGATTTTACGGTGTTTGTTTCCATGGCAACAGCTCAGGAGTACGCCTTTCGCACATGTTTGGTTGTCGTGTTTTTTTCAGTTTTTTGTTTTTTTTGCTATTTTGATGTTTTGGACTATGTCTGTGTTTTCGTGGAATCCTTTCATGAAAATTGACTGAGATGACATTTCAATCAATGTCTCGCACGCACGCACGCACCACGCACGCACGCACGCACGCACACACACACACACACACACACACACACACAGCACCAGGGGGGGCATC